GCACTGTGCGTTTAGCAAAGCTGTAGTTCGCCCCCCAGAGCGAGCTTCCCCCAGTAGTCACGGCGTTCTCTGTGAGTTCTTCAGAGCGAGGCACAGAGAGTGGTCCGGCTCTGCGACTTCGCAGACCTTGGGAGCCTCAGGGTCAGCACAGTTGAGCTTGGTTTCAAAACGGAGTTTCTCCCTTCTTTTGAAGGTGAAGAGCTGTGCCGAGTTTCTGTCTCTCTCCAAGACCAGGATCGAGCAATACGAGAAAGAGGTAAGGGTGAGCTCTGGCCTTTGGGATGGGCTTCCTCTTCCACCTAGCGGCAGTGACCTGCCTGGGGGGTTCTTTTCTGCATCTCTGCAGCCCCCCCTTTTTTTCTTTTCTTTTTCTACTTTTAATCATTGTTCGAGTACAGTTTTCTGTCCTTTACTCCCATCCCAACCCACCCACCCACCCCTCCCCACCTCCCTCCCGTTTCCACCCCTGCTAGTTTTTGTCCATGTGTCCTTTATACTTGTTCCTGTAAGCAGCCCTGTTCACCTTGACATGCTTGCCTGCCTTCCAGCTGGAGAAGATGAGGAACATAATTCCATTTGATCAGATGACCATAGAGGATTTGAATGAAGTCTTCCCAGAAACCAAATTGGACAAAAAGAAGTATCCCTACTGGCCTCACAAGCCGATTGAGAATTTATAAACTTCATTCTGGGAGAAGGCTCTGGCCTCTGTATCATAAGCTGTGGACATTAAAAATAATTATGTAATGCTGCGTGTGTCTGTCCCTTTGCACATGAGAGAGTTACAACTCTGAGGCGACCCCCCCGGGAGTGGGCTGTTTGTTTAAATGGGAGGGTGAGCCCATAGGAGGGTGCCGGCCCCGGTGTCCAATGATCTGCCTGTGCTCCTGATCCCAGAAGGTAAAAAACGATCTGGAGGGTTCTAGAAGATTCTTTGTTGGGCGTTGGCACACTACACCTTAGTCGTTTATATCCCCCAGGGCTTAGCACTGCGCTTGGGATTTTAGAAGCGTCTTCATATGGATTCATTATGAATGAAAGAAAAGACCCGTGAACCTTCGGGGGCTCACATCTCGGGGGGAGATTCCCACACACAAACCCTGAGTAATAGGGCCAGCCGGCATGTTAGTGATGGATTGTGCCTCACAGAACACATACTGCGTTGCAGGAATCGTCTTAAGTAATCACTTCAGATAAATATTCTCACAACAACCCTATGAGGCAGGTAGTGTACCAGCCAAGACCTTAAAGAAGTCCTTGGAAGGCGACAAAATTGCCGATGGCACGTTTGCTATTCTCTACCCAGAGGCCTTCTCTGACTGCTCAGTAGCTTCCCATCACCCTCTTTATTTTGAATCATCTCTTGTTTATTATTTGTGTACTGTCCTCTCTCAGTAGAATGTAAGCTCCTTGGAGGCAGCCTGGAGGACAGTTTTAGGGGGAACGGGAGGTGGAACCCAGAAAAGAAGCGTTGTCTCCGGTTGTGCAGTGGGGCCGTGTTGCTGCAGTGATGTAGCTGGGCCTGGGGCCTTAAAAGCGGCCTCTGTGTTTGGAGCAGAGAGAGGGAGAGTTCTGGGTGACCCTGGAGAAGGGAGAAGAGAATTCTGTGCTTACAGTCCTTTGTTTTGTTCTTCTTGTGAAACGTACAAGAAACTGGTTTTGAAACATTTTCGAGTGGAGGACTTACAGAGAAGACAGTTTTGCTCTGAACAAGTACAAGTATCCCGAAGGGCACATGATGGGAGACACTCAACGTCTAGAGCGCAGCCATAGCTCCTCAGCAGCTACGGGCTTCGAGGTTTAAAAAAAATCACCTGTGGCCCTATTAATAGTTGTAAAAAGATAAACATTTTACTAAAGGAATACACAGGAACAAACGAAAAACTCATAAAAGTACATCTCTCCTATAGTCCCTTTTCTTACTTTTTTAAAAAAGATTCTATTTATTCTTAGAGAGGGAAGGGAGGGAGAAAGAGAGAGAGAGAGAGAAACATCAATGTGTGGTTGCGGGGGCTGTAGCCTATGACCCAGGCATGTACCCTGACTGGGAATCAAACCTGCGACACTTTGGTTCGCAGCCTGTGCTCAATCCACTGAGCTACGCCAGCCAGCTACAGTCGCTCTTCAAAGGCTCCTGGGATCAGGCCCTGGCCGGCAGCTCGGTTGGCCAGAGCATCGCACCAGCAGGCCAAGCTTGCAGGTTTGCTGTCTAGTCAGGGCACGTGCAAGAATCAACCAGTGAGTGCGTCCATGAGGTGGGACAGCAAAGCGATGCTGAGCTCTCTCCAATAATCTACAAATTAAGCACTAAGGGTGGGGGGGACTTCCGGCCAAGATGGAGGCGTAGGTAGACAAAGTGTGCCTCCTCGCACGACCAAAATAAGGACAACAACAATTTAGAAACAAAATAACAACCAGAACTGATAGAAAATTGAACCGTATGGAAGTCTGACAACCAAGCAATTAAAGTAGATATATTCATCCAGACCTATAGAAGGGGTGGAGCCGGGCGGCCAGGTGGAGAGGGATCACGGCAAAAAAAAGTGGTGGCACCAGACGTTCAAGGCAGCAGTGGGTGGACCCAGTGAGGTGGCGATTGTGAATCGAGGCACAGTGCGCAAGGCGGTTGGGTGACCAGGCGTTCCCACATTTGTGTGCACGTAAACCAGGCGAAGCTGGGAGGCAAGACAGATGGTGCAACCCAGGGCCCCAGCACCAGGAAATAAAGCCTCAAACCACCCATTGAAAACACCTGTGGGGGTTGAGGCGCAGGGAGAGACTCCCAGCCTCACGGGAGAGTTCTTTGGAGAGACCCGCAGGGTCCTAGAACGTACACAAGCCCACCCACCGGGGAATTAGTACCAGAAGGGCCCAGTTTGTTTGGGGGAAGTGGTGAAAGAGACTGAAATTCGACAGAGCAGAGCAAGTGTCCTTGTTCCCTCTCAGACCTCGCCCCCACGTACAGCATCACAACCCAGCGACTGATTTGCCCTTCCCTGGAGCCCAGGTGAACACCTAAGGCTCTACCCCTCACACATAACAGGCACTGACAAGGCCAAAAAGGCACAAACAGAAGAACAGATCAAAGCTCCAGAGCAAATATAACTAAGTGATGAAGAGATAGCCAACCTATCAGATGCACAGTTCAAAGCACTGGTGATCAAGGTGCTCACGGAATTGGCTGAATTTGGTCACAAATTAGATGAAAAAATGAAGGCTACGCAAAGTGAAATGAAGGAAAATGCACAGGGAACCAATAGTGATGGTGAAGAAAACTGGGTCTCAAATCAATTGAGTAGACCAGGAAGAAAGAAAACAACACACAATCAGAAAAGAATGAAAAAATAAGAATTCAGAAAAATGAGGAGAGGTTTAGGAACCTCCAGGACATCTTTAAACGTTCTAACATCCGAATTATAGGGGTGTCTTCCTCTTCAACCAGGAGGGGAAGAGGAAGAGCAACACGTGGAAGTTATTTGAACAAATGATAAAGGAGAACCTCCCCAATCTGGCAAAGGAAATAGACTTCCAGGAAGTCTAGAAAGCTCACAGAGTCCCAAAGAAGTTGGACCCAAGGAGGAACACACCAAGGCACATCATAATCACATTAGGCAAGATTAAAATGAAGGAGTGAATCCTAGAAGCAGCGAGCGATAAGGAGACAGTCACCTACAAAAGAATTCCCATCAGATTGGCAGCTGATTTCTCAAAAGAAATCAGCTTGCAGGCAAGAAGGGGCTAGAAAGAAGTATTCCAAGTCATGAAAGGCAAGGACCCTCTATCCAGCAAAGCTTTCATTCAGAATGAAAGGGCAGATAAAGTGCTTCTCAGATAAGGTCAAGTTAAAGGAGTTCATCATCACCAAGCCCTTATTATATGAAATGTTAAAGGGACTTATCTAAGAAAAAGAAGATAAAAAATGTATAGTAAAATGACAACAAACTCACAATTATTAACAACCACACCTAAAACAAAAACAAGCTAAGCAAACAACTAGAACAGGAACAGATCCACAGAAATGGAGAACACATGGAGGGTTAGCAACAGGAGAGTGGGAGGAGGAGAGCGGGGGAAAGGTATAGAGAATAAGTAGAATAGACAGTAGGTAGAAAATAGACAGGGGGAGGGCAAGAATAGTATGGGAAATGTAGAAGCTAAAGAACTTATAACACATGGACATGAACTAAAGGGTGGGGATGTGGGTGGGAGAGGGTGTGCAGGGTGGAGGGGAATGAAGGGGGAAAATGAATGGGACAACTGTAATAGCATAATCAAAATATATTTTTTAAAAATAACTATCAAGAAAAAAAATCACTACTAGGGTCACACAGTTTGCGTGTGCCACCTTTTCTCCTGTGATCGGTGGTTATTATTCCTACTGTCCGGTGACCACGTGCACACGTGCTTCCTGGTACACACACACCCAGTCTGCACAGAGCCGTGCGTGCCGTCGGGATGGGGACGGCGCACAGCGGGCTGGATGGCATGGAGTTGGGCGACATTCCCATCTCACCTGCCCGTCCCCAGGGGGTGGCTTAGGGGGAATGGAGGGGCCGGGGCTGCAGTTTTGCCTGCTTTTAATTAAACTGTAGCGATTCTTACTGAACGCATTAGTTTCTCGAGATGAGTGGATACCAACTCAAAAGATGCAAGAAGTGGGGCCCCACTGACCCTCAACCGTTTATCATTCAAGGTGTAGTCCGGCACGATCAAAAAGAAAAGGAAAATAATTGCGGTACTATTAAAAAGGAAACGAACTACACCGCTTTCATTTTATGTGCGTGATAGAGAAACTACCTCCTACAGGATTTGAACTTACACCCTATCTCACTGTTACACTCACTTTCAAAAGCCAGCGTCTTAACCACTAAGCCATAGGAATGCTAGACGAATGGCCCGCGATCAATTGCCTTTTCAGCTGTGATGCCGCGGGGCTGCGTAATGACATCACACCGGAACTCTCTGGCAGGAAAAGCAAAGGTTGGAAGTCAGCTGTGATACCAATGTGCTGTCCTCTCGGAGGACTGTACACGGGTACAGGAAATTCGAACTTGCGACTTCCTGAACCGGAGTCAGCGGCTTTACGCGCTATGCCACTCAAACTCCACGGGGACGCAGCTCTGCCGCGATGCCTCCTTGGGGATCTGTGGACGCACTGGCACAGAAATCGACTGCATAGATCACCTCCTCGCTCCGCCTTCGCTGCGCCGGTGTCGCACCCTGTGGCACCTGCAGTGGGCGCCACCGCCCGCGAAGAAGTTGTACCTGGACTGCGCATTGCTCATTGTGTTGTGCTAAGACCGCGTGGCCTAACGGATAAGGCGTCTGACTTCGGATCAGAAGATTGAGGGTTCGAGTCCCTTCGTGGTCGGTGCTGTTTTGGTCGATTGATCCTTGGCCAGCGGCATGACAATACTGAGTCCCCTCTCCTAGTTCCTCTGCCCGCTGACATCTATCTTCTAAGAAGCTTGGAGGTTCGCGCCGCTAGACCACCCTAGGTCTGAGCCGGCCCTTCCCAATCGTCTCGTCTTGCTCTTTAGCTTTTCGCGTAGCACGGCTGTGTACCCTCTGGTTCTCTGGCTGTCCCGCCGCGGCGACCTGTACTACGTTCTGGCCTAGGAGTACGCAGTCCTGCCGCAAGCGTGACGGAGAATTGTGACATTTGTGCACGTGGCATTACCATGGACCACGTGGGCGCTGTGTTTTGTCGTGCCCCAGTGGCCTAATGGATAAGGCACTGGCCTCCTAAGCCAGGGATTGTGGGTTCGAGTCCCACCTGGGGTGATGTACGTGGCCTTTCCCTAAAGGTAATTTTGGTTCTGCGAATGGGCAACCAGGGGCTCCAGTCCACGTGATTTGGACCATGGGCACTCCTCCGCCTCCGGAGCCTGCCTGCCTTCTTGACAGTCCCCGGTCGTTTGCAGTACTGCTGTCTAGCCTCGGCCTGCGAATTGTAGAAAAGTTGACAGAGGTGAGTGTTGCCGATGGCTGCTTTGTTTTCAGGGTACCATTTGGTTTTCCACCGCGCTCACTTGGGATCTGGGCACGTTTTTACTAGAATCCAACAAGGTTGGAGTGAATTTTTCTGAGTAACAAAACGGAAGCTCTTACCCCAGGTGGGACTCGAACCCACAATCCCTGGCTTAGGAGGCCAGTGCCTTATCCATTAGGCCACTGGGGCCTGCAGCTCACCCTTCTCGCATCTTTTCCTCTAGTAGACGGTCAGAGTTCGGGTGCAGGAGTCAGTGGGGCATCCGTTTACCGAGGGATGCCGAGCCAGGGATGGGCACGGGAGAGGCCCCCGGAGCTCACAGGCGAACGAGAGGATGCGGGAAGTCGCTACCCTGGGAGGCGAACTACCCAACCTGCAGCCTCCGCTCCGGGGAGCACAGTAGGGCTGGGACTGCCTGAACACCTGGACCGCGGCGGATGAAGGCTGAGGTTCGAGCCATCGTGTCTACTACAGAACCGACAGAAAGTCAGGTGTTTTAGGGAAAAGTGGTGTAAGGAGCGAACGAGAGCAGGCTAGGCTCAGTCATGAATACTGAAACATAAACCCTGAAAATCTTCACTATCACGAGACAGGGACAACCAGGAGGAACAAATCCTTCCATGCACACACACACACACACACACACACACACACACACACCTATGTATATGTTATATGCCAGCGTATAATATGCAGAAAAGAAATATATCAGCCAAATATATACTTCACCCTAATATTTTTTTCCTTTAAAACGGTTAGATAAAAAAATAGCACAAATAAAGAATCAGCACATTTTTTAAACGTCGCAACATTGAAAATCCACTATTACGACCCATGCACCTCTGAAGGATGTCGCAGCAGAAGCTACGGCCAAGGGCAGGCAGCTCCCGTCCCGTCAAGCCTGAGATGAGACTTGGCCTCCCCACGCCCCGCATGTCAGGACACAGGGCACTTGGACATGCTCCTCTGTTTCTCTCTCCAACACGCGGCGTCTGCAGAAACCCACGTCTTTCCTTCACATCAGCAAGACGAGTTTAACCGACCTGGCTCCAGCCTCCTGCCCTCATTTCAGTTAAATCAGCTTGTTTGTTGAAGTGTAACGTTCGTGCGGCAAAGTGCACACACTGCAGCCCATGAGATACAGAACATTCCCAGTCTCCCAGCCCCCCTCCCCCTCCCCCAGCTACTTTCCTGATGTGCATCACCGCTGAGCAGCTTTGCCTTGTTTTGAACTACATATAAGTGGAATCACTGATTGGGAGCTTAGCCTCTTTCGCTCAACATTGTGCCCAAGAGGTTCATGCAAGTTCCTTCTTTCTCCCTCAGCTTTTTAAAAGAATGGGTCCCACCCCTGGGCTCTGGTCTTTATCCCGTTGCCTGTTCTGTTCTCTGTGTGTCTTCCTCTCCTCCTGTCTGGAATGCTCTTCCAGGTCCTGTCACATGCCACCCACGTCTTCTGAGGGTCCAGCACTTTGCCCAGGGTCAACCCACAGGGGTGCCTTCTCCCGTTTCCCGCTGACACCATCTGAGCCGGTCTCCCTGGGTTCTTCTGCCTTGCCTCTTCCTCAACTGCTCCTGCCTTTCCCCAGACTCTGCTCGTCCTCCTGCACCCTGCACCTCCCAGAGGCAACCTCACTCCCAGCTGCAGGGCTCCGGCCCCTCTCCTGGGCATCGGCACCTGGGCATTCCTTCTCGGGCCCCACATAGCCAGCTTCTCCCAGGTGACACCATCCTCCTCATCCGACTGCCCTCCCAGCCTGCTCCCTCGGTGAGTTTCCTGTTTCAATGCACAGCACCGCCCACGTCGCACACCTGTTCCCTTTCCACGTGGGCCAATTTTCTGTCCCCATAATCCTTCTGCATCGATTTTCTCTCCATCCCTGCGGTCACTGCCCCAGTTCTAGGATGGGTCCCTGACTGCTCGCCGGGGTCAGTCTACCAACCGCTGCGCACTTCCCCGAGGCCCTTCCTCCTCCGCTCACGGCCAGATTCATCTTCCCCTGACAGCCTCTGGAGGGGGAGAACCTGAGCGTCTCGGCTGTCACACTTAAGGACTTCCTAGACCTGGCTCCCACTCAATGTGGCAGATGTGTCTTCCACAGCTCCTCGTCCCCTGGGTCCCCGCCAAACTGCGCTATTAATCACCATTCCCCGAGTACATACTCAGCGCCATTAGCCATTTATTTATTCATTTCGGTCCCACACCAGCTCGAGGAGGTAGCCGCTGGTAGCATCATCCCCAGGTGATAGACGGGAAACTGGGAGGCGAAGCAGTGTGCACAAGGCCCCGCAGCTGCGGGGGGTGGAGGGCAGGAGCTGCCCGGGGTAGTGGGTCCGGCTTCAGAGCCCATTCTCAGTGCGACAGTTCGCTGAGTGACAGGCAGGCATGGCCCTTGGCCACCCTGGAGTCTCCTGGTGACAAGCTCTGGTCTCGCTTGCACGGCCAGCTCTTCCCATCCGTCAGGCCCACCTCCACTGCAGCTTCTCCGGCCTTCCAGCGGAAACTAGTTGTTTCTCTGCCTCTCAGAATCTCTTTAGACCTTTCTTATGTTATTTACATTTTAGGTCATGTTACCATACAGGAATCCATTTTTTTCTGTTCAACTGATCGGATGTCAAATCTCTGCAAGAATGGACTTGGTTCATTGCTGATTCCCCCGGGAACTCACCCGGGGCCTCGTGGACCAATGAATGTCGCGCTTCCTTGGTCCCCAGGGGGCTGGCTCTCTTCAGGACCAGGACCACGTCTTTCACATCTTCTAGGTTTCCTAAGCCATTTATCGAAGACTTTCCCCCTTTGTTTACACGCACGCGAATGAGGTCCCTGCTCCCAGATCGTGTAGGCGCTACTGCTGTCTATTACACTGCATTTAAAGCACTGCAATGCATTGTTTGTCAAATGAGTGAAGTAGGTCAAGATAATAGAGAATGTTCTACGGAATTCGTACATTCTAGAGTAACCTACTCTTACGCTGGCCTGGGTGCTCCCCCGCCCACGGGATTGCAAAACCCTTTTTCTAGTTCCAACCCACTCTTTCCCTGCCCCCACAACCCCAGGGCCTACAACGGCACCTAACACTTGACATTCCTTCCCACTCAGGTGGTCCCCTGCTCCGTGTCTCTTAAAACCTAACCCGCCTGACCTGAATGTGAGGATCTCCACACTGAGCGTCTGTCTCCCTCCAGACTTAGCTCCCATGAGCCCCTGCCTAAAGCCACCATTCGGACGGCTTCCTCATGGTCTCGCCGCCCCCAGCCTTCTCTTTGGCCCCCTTTATCCATACTGTTCCCTTCAGCTGGCACGTGCTCCGCCCCTTTGTCCTGACGGAAGGGCTGCACCTTCGTCAAAGCCCCCCTCTGACGCCCACTCGCCCGCCTCAGCTTCTAACCGCACGTGTGCTCCTTGAAGGCAGACACCGCGCTCGCTCCTGTCCCGCCGGCTGCGACACCTAGTCCGCGCCAGTCAGTAACTGCTAGGCCGATTTCAACTGAGAGCAAGGTGGGATCCCGTTCTGGAGCGTTCTGAAGAACGGAAGCCGTCTGTGTTTAGAGTTTTATTGCAGCTCACACATGAAATGGGTAATTAAGGTTTGACACATGCAACTGCCGACGAAGACGGCTGCAGCCGGTGCCCGCAGCCCTCACTCCGGATGAACGTTCCCGGACGGCTCCAGCGTTCGAGACCGGCGCCAGCGACCGCGCACAGCGACTCAGTCTCCTGTGGGCACTGACGCTCACGCCGCTGCCCCACGCCCCGCAGAGCGTCTCTGCCGGCTCTGGAGGGTGACTTCAGTCCACCTCTACCCTCCTGCTCGTCTTGACGGCAGAACTGATTCTCTTCTTTCTCAGCCTTTCCCGGTTCGTGTTTTCTATCCTGCAAACAAAAACAGCGCCGTTAGGCCCGGGTGTCCAGCTGGTGCTTTTCAAGGTGGTGAAAGGAGCTGGCCTCTCGGCGGGGAGCGGAGCGGCTGAAGGAGCAGGTGCCGGCTCCCAGGTCTCCGCTGGGGCCAGTCTGCTCCCACCCTGGGGGAGGGGCGTTTCCACCCGTTGCTGGGAGGCTGTGGACTCTACCCTGCCCCCTTCTGCCCGGTGCTGCCCCTCAGGAGAAGTTTGGGGCGGTTCCTGGTACCTGATTTTCCACAGTGCAGCATCCTCTTTGGAGGGCTCCTTGGCCGGCTGGCTGGCTTCGGCAATCATGTCTCGAATTTTCTGTAAGCAATCTGCCAGGTTGCGGAGCTGATAGCGGCTGCATTCGGAGGTGAGTATCAGCTCTCCTGACTTGTTGATCTTATTTTTATGCTGCAGGGAACAAAGGCAAGACCAGAGTTCCACCGAGTAAAGGTTTAAACGCTACCAAGGGGTGCCCTGACCAGGGTGGGTCAGCTGGTCAGGCGGCATCCCACAAAGCAAAAGACCGCGTGTTCAATCCCCCGTCAGGGCCTATGCCTGGGTTGCAGGCTCTGACCCTGGTCAGGGTGCGCCCCTAGGGCACGAACAAGAGGTGACCTAGCCATGTTTCTCTCCCTCTCTCTCTTTCCCTCCCTTCCCCTGTCTAAAAAAGAAATCATTTAAAAAATAACACATAAAAACAATAAAAGCAACGGAGGGATTAAAGAGACAGAAAGGGGCCGGCCCTACCGTGACAGCTATCTGCTGCCGCACGGGCTCTGCGATCCAGTCCGCGGTGGCCAGGTGGAACCTGACTTCGGCCTTGGAATTCACTGGAAAGAAAGAGAGGAGGGAGCACGGGTCACCAGGTCTCTCGGCAGGCTCTGCGCCTGGGTGGCGGGTGACCATCCTGGAGCAAAGGGAGGCGAGAAACCCAACCGGGTGTGTTTCTTTCCTGTGTCAGCTTGGGGAGGCCCAGCTGGCCGTGGGATGAGCCTGCCGGGCAGTGGGGCACTTCTGGACAGAAACGAACCCCAGGAACTGAAGCCCAGCACCCCTCTCACAGTGTACTGGGTGCTGAGAGGAATGGGCGGGTGGGCTCCACGAGGACGCAGGGAATCTGCTTGGGGGCTGGCTGCCGGCTCCCACTGGGGTTTCCCTTTGTTTCGACTCACAAGCCGACCCATAGCTCAGTCTGAGAACCAGGCCACGTTCAGGAGAATAAAGAGCATTATTATAAACTGGCTTATTTAAGCTTCTGCTATTTAAAAAAAAAAAGCCCTTTATTCCCCACGAATGTAAACACAGAATCATCAAGTCCCTCTTCTGACAGAAGAAAACAAGGCGTCCCGTACCTTTGTTGACGTTCTGGCCCCCGGGACCGCTGCTCCGGCAGTAAGAGATCGTCAGGCGGTCTGCAAAACAGAACACGCCCCGAAGAAATGATGATCTCAGGGCAAAACATTACACACCTCTCTCAATGACACGAGACTACATATATATATATATATAAATGTGACATTCAGATCAGCAGAGTAAGAGATGATTTATAGAGGTCACAACTAAAGTCAGGAGTGACTTTCCCAAGGTTGCAGACAGCGGAGGCCGTAAAATTATGACCCAGGCGGCCTGCTTCTGGTCCGGTACATTCCAGCTGCCCCAGCTCTTTGCCCCTTGTTTTAGAGTGAGGATTCTTTCAAAAGGTCAACCTAAGAGACAAACTTAAGTGTTTTATTTCAGAACATGGTGGATGTGGTGCCCAGTAGCCTGTAAGCTCCGAGGACGGGTGTGTATCTAATTCACTGTGGGGTCCGCGTGCCTAGCGCTTGGGCAGCGTTTGAGGACACCTGCTGGGCGGCTGAGCACCCGAACTGGACCCGGGGCCTCGCTCCCAACTCTGGCTCAGCTGCTGACCAGGTGGCGCCGGCCAAGTCCCATGCTCTTCTGGGTCTCAGTTTTGTGTGTGTCTGCAATCTGTACAATGAGGTTTCTTCCTTCTATAATTCATGACAAGTAGCCTCACAGTGTCTGAAGAAAGAAGGGAGGCTGGAAAATTTGGGGTCACTTAGAAGGTGAGCTGCAAGACGTTTGGGCGGCAAACGACGGTGGTGGCCTGGTGGCGGATGGCAGGCCCCTACAGCCAGTGGTGACCCATCTCGGGACTGCTCCTGAGAGGACTTCCTCCCTGTGGCGGCTTGGGTGACGGGCCCACGCAGTACTGTACGGGGACCGTTCCCCCATGGCCCCACAGCCCATGGCACTGGCAACAGAACCTGCGTCCATGTATGTAGGCCACTGAGGTCCGGCTGGCACCGCCGTCCACTCTGTCTCTGCAGGAACTCCCAGGATCCTCCAGGAGCACCACAGCCCGGGCGGCAGACGGGGAGCTGTAGCGCGGCCCCCTCCCACTCGCCTCCCTTCTCCGAAGGCTGCGGTGACACAGCTTCTGAGCCCCTGTCTGACGCGGCAGCTTTCTGCCTCTTCCAGGCACGCGCACCCTGCGGGGCTCGGCTGCAAGCGAGGAGGTCGGCTGCTGGGCGTCCTCTCCCTTGTGTTGCTGTCGCCTGAGCGGGGGCCAGCGGGGCCGGCACCTTTGATCCTCTTCCTTTCCGGCCGGTGGAGGCCACAGTGAGGCCTCTGGATCTGAGAAGGACTGGCTGTTCCTTCCCAGGCCTTGCCTCAGGCTCGATGGGCGCACAGTTCTCAAGTGATGCACGCTCCGGCTCACAGGGAGACGTCCCCACGAGTCTGTCCTGTCCTCTCCCCTCCCCAAGGCTGTCCTCCTATCCAACTTCTTGTGCATCCTTTCAGATCTATGTATGCATGTAGGAATATGTATATATTTCAGATTCACATGTAAGGCACGAATACTAGCTTACTACACATATTCTTCCATAACTTGCTTTCTTCCAGCGACAATCAAGTCATCCATTGTAAAGATTATTCAGCCCTGGCTGGCATAGCTCAGTGGATTGAGCGCGGGCTGTGAACTAAAGCATCGCTGGTTCGATTCCCAGTCAGGGCACATGCCTGGGTGGCAGGCCACGGCCCCCAGCAACCGCACATTGATGCTTCTCTCTCTCTCTTTCTCCCTCCCTTCCCTCTCTAAAAATAAATAAATAAATAAAATCTTAAAAAAAAAAAAAAAAAAAACATTATCCCATGTCATAGGAACGTGAGGAGCTCTCCGTCTGAGCTGCACAGCACTCCGGAGTGGCTGCGCGACCATTTTTTATTTAATTTTTTTTTTTGCTATTCTAAACAACACTGAAAGGACTCCACTTTTGCACACCCAAAGTTTCTTTACTTTTATTAGGCTGAAAAGATCTGGGAGGAATGTGTGAGGGGTGGAGGAAATGGCTGATTTTTTAAATAAAATCAAATGACTTACCTAGAGGAATGTCACTGTTGGCTTGCTTTGCGTCAGCCTGTAATGTAATGCACACAGTGTCAAATAAATACTACTTGCTGGGTGACTCCCAACTGGCCCAGGGCAACCAGAGAAATGATGTAAAGCCATGGCGCAAATGTAATACAGCTATTTCCAGGACCCAGCAAAACCCCATCAGAGGACAGAAAAAGCTCCCAGAAGTGCCGTCTCAGATAACGCTCCTTCAGGAAAACAGAATTGATGTGTCCAGCCCTCCCTGCCCCGACCTGAGCCAGTGTGGGGACGATCAGAGGCTCCTGGGAGGCGGGAGGGAAGGCACCAGAGCACACACATCCGTCAGGGAAACTCCAGCGGGAGTACCCTCTGCTGGCCTGCACGGACAAACATGGGGGGCCGTGCTCCCTCTGCCCCTGGGACTTTGCCTGCCTTGGACAGTGACGGGCACGTCTGCCTTGAGGGTCTGTGTGGAACAGAACCACTCCCTCCAGGACGTCCCACCTCCGTGCCTCTCCCAGCTGCTCCCCTGGGAAGCTTCTGAGCTTCAGCTTCTGAGCCTCAAATCCACGGGCCCAGGGCAACCACTACCCCCGTGAGGCTCTTCTGGCCATCCAAGCTCAGAAAGTGTCCTTACCTGTCCTGTTGTCCACCCCCGCCCCTTCCATCTCAGAATTATTCCAGGGGCTGGGGGGCGGGTCCTCATCTCAGTCTGCCTCTCCACAGCACTGAGGGCCATGGGCCATGCCCTCCGTGCAGCACCCTCTGCTGAGCGATCTTCGTGGTTTTTTTTCTCCTCCTTCCCTAGGACTTTCTCACGCTCCTTTGCTTGCTCTTTGCCACCTTTCAACACGGACATGCCCCTGAAACCCTTCCACTTCTCTATCTGACTCTTTCCCTGGAACGTTTCATCCCTCTGTGTTGACACACGTATCATCTGTGTTGGTGATTCCCAACTTCCTGGCCCAAACCAAAACCTCTCTTCGACCGCAGACCCACAGCCAACAGCTCTTCGATGCCCCCTCTCAGAGGCCCCGAACACCAGCTCGGGGAGGGGGAGCGTCCCTTGCTCCCACCGGAAGCAGCTGCCCCGCACCCTGACAGCACGCGGCTCTGCTCCTCTCTTCCCAATGCCCGACGTGTCTTCTCCACTGGCTCACTTTCCGCTCCTTCCACTGCCGCGCTTGAAAGTGTCTGACACAGTAACTACAGATTCAAGTTTTTTCTCTGTTGCTAAATGAAAGAACGTTCTAATCTCAATGAATGGCAAAGCAATCCTTCCATTGCTCAAGGCCCCAGACTTCAACTCCTCTCTTATTCTCGCCTCTCCGCGAAAACCCATCGGCAGAGGTTTTCCATTCAGAATATATCTAGAACTGGAACAGTTCTCAGGACCCCTGCCACTTCCACCCCGCTTCTCCCCTCTCACCTGCATTGTTGCAATCTCCTAACCGGCCTTCCTGTTCTTCTCATCCTACAGCCCACTCTGCACAAGGCTCTGTGAGCATGAGCCCTGCAAACCCCAGCCGGACCATCCCACTCCTCTGCCTCGGATCCCCCAGCAGGTTCCCCTGCTGGCCTGCTTGCTGTCCCTCGAACAGGCAGAGCACGCTACCGCTCTGAGGTGGCGGCGGCACCTGCTGTTCCCACGGGATGGCCATCTCCCTTCTATTCCCACGGCTCGCTGCCTTGCTTCTTCTAGGCTCTACTCAAAGTCACCCTCTCAGAGGCCTTCCCAGACCATCCTATTTAAAACTAACACCACCTCCTACCTTAGTTCTCTCCTTCCCTCCGGGCTTTATTTTCTCTGAAGCGCGTCACCTTCTCACATAGTCTGCACCAGAATTTTACTTTTTGCTCTCTCTCTCCTTTAGAATTCAAGGTCAACAAAGAGTAGGATTTTTGTGTTGTGTTCACTACTCTATCCCCATGCCTAGCGCAGTGCACAGAGCATGCTCTCAATGGAAGTGTGTTGGCTGAGTGCATGAATCCATGAACGTTCTCTTCCAGTCCTGTAGGTGGAAACTCTTACAGAATTGGCTGGGTGCTATCTCTCCCGCTCCTGGGCCAGAGCCAGAGCCGGAGCCTGCACACAGCAGGCTGTGATGAAATGCATCCTGAGGATACGAATGAGAAAACAGTTTCCTCGGGTGTGCTGGGGCTACTAGAGGCTAAGGTCGGTGGACCTTTCCCACATCCCAGGAGGGAGCAAACAACATGGCAGCCTCCTGCATTTACTGCCCATTCTGCAGGGCCAGAATGCCCACATTTTCCCTGGGACAAGGATCTGGGTCTGAAGGTTGGGGAACTAATGCGGAAAAACTGATGCTCTCCCAGTACTCCCACACCTCCAGTCTCCCGAGGCGCCGAGACCCGCCCAGTGGTCCCAGTCCTCGGTTGCTCAGGCAACCAGCTCCCACTGCGGCCCCTTCGAAGAACGGCGCGCACGCCCAGTAGGGCCCGGGCTTCCAGACGTCCTCCGCCAGCGGCGAGGAAACGCCCCTTCCGTCTGGCCCTCCCGCTCACCGGGACCTTCCAGGCGGTGTCCACGCCCCGCGATTCCGGGTAGAGCTTGTCCAGGCTGTAGATGCTCTGGTATTCGGTGCCGTCTACCTGCTTGTGCAGCTCCCGGCGGGCGCAGTGCGCGGGTGGTGGTAGCAGCCAGGCCCCGGCTCGGTTCAGGCCCCAGCGGAGGCCCCGGGCGGCCGCCATGTTCGAGTCCCGGGACTGCTTCCGGTGTGCTCTTCCTTCCGCGGTCCGATAGATCGTGTTTCCCTTTGAATTTGGTTCCGTGCGACTTTTAGCGCCATCCGGGGAAGCAGAGAGCTGGGCTCCCTGCGTGGCTCTAGCGCGGCGCCTGTTAGAAGGTCCCCATCGGCTGGCTCCCGCAGGCCTGGTTGGCGCTCTGAGGTCCGCTGCAGCGGTGGGGAAGGCGTTAGCTAGCCAGCGAGTTCTCAAGGGAGCCCCCTAGTGAAAGAACCCCCAGATCTGTCTCCCCAGAAACACCCTCTCGCCCCTCCTCCCGGACCGTTCTCCCGCCACATCTCACACCATCCATGAGGCCAGCCCTGTCCAGCCTAGTTCATCTTCATCCCCTTTACCCTGCTGTACTTTTTGTTTGCCCTTTCAGATCGCCTAATCTTACTTTTCTGGTTCATTGCCTGTCTCCCAGCCAGAATGTAATAAGCTCCAGGAAGGCACTGGCTCTCTGCTGGATCCCCGGCAGCCAGAACCTGGCACATGATAGGCACTCAGTACACATTGTTCCGACCAATTCTTTGGCAAGGTGTTTTTGAAAGCTGAGGTCCGCTAGAACTGAGTTTTAGTAACTTGAGGCTCATCTCACGAGGCAGCCTATAAGCAAGACCCCGCTGAGCACGTGTGGGAAAGGTCCACAGCACAATTACCAGAGGGGAGGAGAGGCAGGCAGGTGGAGAAAGAAGTGTGGGTAGCCTCAGCACCATACATCGAGGTTGCGGGTGTGGCCCCCAGGTCAGAGAACAAACATACAAGAATCAACCAATGAATGCATAAATAATGAAACAACAAATGGATGTTTGTCTCTCTAAAATAAATAAATAAATAGATAAATAAATAAATAAATAAGTGGACTACACCCACCTCCCTTTGTGGGGGGACCAGCAGTTCCGAGGAGCCCCAGGGCAGTTGCCCCCAGCCAGGAGGTAGCCTGGGCTGAGGATGCAGGTGGAGGTCCAGACAGACAGGCTAAGCAGAGCCTTTTACAGGGCTGTAAGGGCGTGGACTCCAAAACTGAGAGGTTGTGGCTCCAAGGAAGGTTCCAGCAGAGCAAGCAGTGTCTGGAAACAGCTGAATGGTGGCCGAGTTACTTTGTTGAGAGGCAGGGTGGTAAATGAAAACAGCTCAATGAAAGCTAGTGATTATTAGCAATATTAGTGGTTGTTGGGGGTTTTTTTTTAGGATTTTATTGATTTACTTTCAGAGAGGGGGAGGGAGGGAGAGAGGGAAACATTAGCGTGTGGTTGCCTCTCGGGCGCCCCCTACTGGGAACCTGGCCCACAACCCTGGTATGTGCCCTGACTGGGAATTGAACCGGCGGCCATTTGGTTCATAGGTGGGCACCCAAGCTACTGAACCACACCAGCCAGGGCTAGTGGTTGTTTCTTAATAAAGAGTTCTATTTTTAGGAAAAGCATAATTACCTAGAAAAAAATATGTGCTTGGGGATGTTGGCTGTTTGAAACAGGAAATTGTCATCAAATCAGGTCTTTATGGTCTTTGCCTCGTTGATCCAGGCAAATCTCTAGGAGGGAATAAACTGCCCGCCCCCACTGGCCCTGGCTTTGTAAACCCAAATGGGGCAGAGGATGGCTCTGGGTTGGAAGGGGAGTCTCCTGGGTCCCTCCCTGTCTTAGTCCCAAGACCTCAGAGGCATCTGCATGGCGACTGGAACGGCTTCTCAAGGGAGCCAAACCAGGACTCCTCCAGGTCCGCGCTCCGGGGTTATGAATGACAAAGTCACCGCCGTTCAATCATTGCTTTGAGCTGGGCTCCGGCCCTGTGCCTGACCCAGAATGATAGGGAAAGGAAGCTGCAGGTTTCCATGGCCCCAAATAAACACAGCCTGCTCGGGCCATCTGGCGCCCTGGATTCTGGGACAGGAGGAGGGTAGAAGAGAGAATGAGACAAGTTACCCTGGGGGGCGGGGGCAGGGAAAGCAGCTGCCAGGCTCCTTGCACCTGCTGCTGCGGTGAACCATCCAGAATAGAGACCCTTCTGGGAGAAACAGGCCCGAAGGGTGTCACCTGTTCCCTTAAAAAGATGGGCACAGAGGCTAACGCCAGCCTCCTTCCCCCTCCTAGCCTCCTTCCCCCTCCTTGGTCCTCCATAGGCCGAGGCCGAAAAGGGACATTCACAGAGGTGAGCCGGGGTGGGGGGGAGGCAAAAGGAAGAATCATCCGACCCTTCCCAGCAGCTGAGGAGCTTGCAGGCACCAGCCCTTCTTGCCGGCCTGTGAGTCGGGCACCACAGCTGCGTAGGGAGTCTGAGGGGCTTCCCTCTCTCCCCTGGAGTGCCCCCGGCCAGACTGGCCCCTAAAACTCAAGCCCATGGAAATAGGGAATGTGCAGTATTGCATAGTGGGACGGGGTCACATCTGGTTTCAAGTATTTCTCTGTGCTCCTGAATGACTAGCTGAACCTCTAAGCCTCAGGATCCCCATCAGAAAATTGACGTTCTATAGCTGCCTGCCAGCAGGCAACAAAAGTTGGCTGTTACTAGGGTGCTAAGTGTGTACAGGTTTTTTTGAAGGAACTTCCTTTTACTTTCAGAGACCCGATGGCTTTTATCTTCTTTTTTTTCTGCCGCACAGGCTAGGAAATCCAGTCCGACCAGCTCTGTTCCAGATCTCCGTCCTTCTCCCCCAGGGGCTGGCGCCAGCAGCACGGAGTCTGCCCCCACCCCCTGCCCCCAGCGTGGGTGAGCAAAGCTGCCCCCTTTTCCCGAAGTTGCTTCCCTCTCAGCCTAGTTACCAGGCCTTCAGCTCAGAGTTTGCAGGGCGGGTGCAGGCAGGTCTGTTTCCTGGGTCGTGGGAGGGGGGCCCGTCCCTCTTACTTATCCAGTGTTTGGTCTCAGGGAAGGTTGGCAGTGTGGGAGAAGAAAGATGCAGGGGAGGGACCTGGGGGGTGGGGAGCAACCCAGGAAGGAAGAAATGGTGACAGGAAGGAAGAAGCGGGGAGGGAAATATATCTAGTGGGGAATTCGGAAGGTGAGAGAGAGAAGGGTGCCCGGGGAACAAGTCCCAGCTTCCCTTGCTCCTCAGGTGCCACTGCTCGGGGTACCACGCCTACACTGTGCTCCCCCTTCCCCCACAGACAGGCCACAGCGGGTCCAGAGACCCCGAAAGTCCTTCGAGTGCCATGTACTTAAAACCCGCATGCTGGTCATTGATTTAAAAAGCAGACACCACCAAGTTGGATGCCAGCTCTGGGCTCCCCACACCACACTGTCCTCACCTGCAGGGGCCAAGGGAGGTTGCTCCTGGCTCCCAGGGGTGGGGGGGTGGGGGGGTGCAGGGGCTTGGGGAGAGGTCCCTGAGCTGACCTCCAGAAGATTTTGCAAGCTTTTCCTTGTGGGGGTGGGATCCACAGAGCCCGCTGATTTTTCTGTGTGGGAGTGGGCGCGTGGAGAAGGCAGTGAGAGAAACTGAGCCCCAAAGATTCAGGAGTATTTTCTGTGACTCTTGAAGTCGAAGCTGTTGGCAGGTGTGGGCTGGGAGGAGGGAACTGCAGAATCTGTCCTGCAAGGAGCGTCCCCCCAGCGTGGGGCGCCCTGCAAGGCAGCACAGCCCTCGTGGCTGGTGCTCAGTTAACAGCTTCTGAGACTCACTCTTCAGCTCAATGGCTGCCAATCACGGGGGTCCCGGGGGCCCGGGGGATCGAAGTTCCGGAACTCTTCTCCTCTGAGCTGTGTGATGGGGAGGCAGGTGTGTGGGATGCACAGATAGGACCACGGCTCCGGGGCCATTTCTGCTTTTAGAATACTGGTGCATTTTATTTTTATTATTAAAGAAGAGAATAAAGCATTTGTAAATATATTTCTCTCATGTGTACATCAAAGGGGATGCTGGTCGGCTGCTACAGAACTGGGAAATGAACAGGCAGGAGCCCCTCCCCCACCCAATGCACCCCACCCCCCTCCACCCTAGATGACAGAGACACATGGAGGGCCGGGAGCTGCCTGGCTCCAAAGGACAAAGGGTTCCACGATGTGTGGCCGAGGGACCAGCCAACAGCTGTCATCACAGTGCCGCCCGGAGAGCAGGTTGGCACCTCTGCGGAGGTCAGGCGTGCGTAGTAAGAAAACCCCTTTACCCCTTAGAAACGAGTAAGGCATGAAGGTGCCCCCCGGGCTCCCAGCACAGAGGCCTGGGCCACCGCCTTCACCGGGCTGCGCGGCTGCTCTGACTTCTTGGGTCTTGGGGTGGGCAGGCAGCGGAAACGGGCGGGGGGGTGGCCCTGCAGGGTTGCTCAGGGCAAGCTGGGGACCCTGGCCTCTCCTAGTTGAAGCTGGACTTTCTGCAGCCTTCACAATTGGCTGAACCCCAGCTGGGTCTTCAAGACCCACCCCCACCAAAGCAGGAGGTTAAGAGCAGGCATTTTATGGGAGGAAGGAGACATGCTCTCCTTCCAGGTCCCGTGTTAATACTGTTCAGAGTTGGGGCGGGGTCTTGGGCTGTCCCCATTGAAGGGGGGCAGGGGTGGAAGCTGGGACCACTGGCTTGTGGTGGCACATGCCTGGCACATTCTGGGGGCAGCAGGTGGTACCTGTGGTGAGGTCAGCACGTGGCCAGCATGGGAGTGAATGAGACACGTTATGGTCCCTGAGGTGGGGGCAGGCAGAGGCCAGACTTGATGAGTTGCAGGTGGTGTGCAGAGATGGGGGGCTCCCTGCCACCCAGACCCCCGGAAGGCTTAATGTCTGGAAGGCATTTCCAGGGCGGGCACCCGAGGGGGCCGGCTCTGAGGGCAATGGCGCACGGCTCGTGTAGGGCTGCCGAGGGGCTCTCTCCGCTCCACTCCTCGGATTGGCTGCAGGTCTGCAGTGGGCCGAGGGTCTCCAGGGGGAAGGCCACCCTCACCAGGGCCGGAGCAGGGCACACCTGAGGCCAGGCCGAGGTGTTCTGCTCTGCGTGGCAGGGGCCACCTCCGACCCGGTTAGGGCCCCGGCGGTGGGACAGCTGGTGCTAGGGGAATGACAGTGTGTCACAGCTGGGGGAAAGCAGTGGGTGGTCTAAGAGACCCCAGGAACCTGCCACAGCTGGCTCTGGGGTCCTCCTTCAAGTGTTTCCAGTTGTGGTGAGGGGTCAGGGGGACCTTACATTGCAAACCTCTCAAAAAAAAAAAAATGAAACTAAACTTTGAAAAAAAAAAATAGAAAGAAGCCAGCTGGTCCAGAACGGCTCTCAGGAGCCTGGCCACGAGTCCGGGGTTGGAAAGAAAGCGGGGGAAGGGAAGCGGGGCCGTTTGGCTTTGTAACTCGTAGCTGTGCCCTGGGCTGACTCGGGGTCATGGAGGGTCCCGGGGGGCCAGGCTGTTCACATGTTGCCCACCTCCCACACCAGCAGGGGACAAGCCGGGTCCCCCACCGGCTCCCTGGGTCGGAGAGCGGCCCCCACTGAGCTATATTGCCGCAAAAAGGCTCCCTCATTCACCAGAGGCAGCTGGGCCCAGGCATGAGGCACCCATGGCCTTACTCTGGGGGGGGGGACGACCCTGAGGGTCACTTGCTGCTGTGGGTCTTGACCTTGGTGGCGTTGATGTCGGCCTTGGTCTTCTGGATTCTGGAGAAGATCTCCTGGAAGAGCGCCTTGTACTCGGGCTGGCTCTGCTCCAGCCGCTTGTCCACGGCCTCCACGTGCTGGCTCAGGCTCTTCTCCGCCATCCTGGCCTCGCCCTGGCCCTCCTCACTGCCCTGCAGGTCCCTCCACGAGCTGTCCCGGGAGATGGGCCGCGAGGTCTGCACGCCAGCATGCCGCACCCCGGCGCGGTGCTGCCGGCACTTGCTCAGCAGCTCCTCGTACTTCTCCAGCAGCGCGTGGTACTGCTCGTCCACCTCCCGCAGGATGGACATGCCCCGCTTGCGCACGCTGTTGGCGTGCAGCGTGAGGTTGCCCGCGTGCCGGCTGGCAGCGTCTTTGGCCACGATGGCGTTGAGCGCCGTGTCGCTGCAGCTTTTGCGCACGGAGTGGCCCGGGGAGGAGACACCGTCCTGGGCGCCGAACTCATCTCCGCTGCCTGGCTGGGGGTCATCGGCCTCGGGGGCCTGGGTGAGGGGTGCCAGTAGGGCCGCGGCCAGGTGATCCTCCTGGCCCAGCAGGTAGGTCTTCGCCTGCTTCATCTGCTGCAGCTCCAGCAGCTCGGCCTCCAGCTCCTGCACGCGGAGGCGGCAGCCCTCCATCTCGCACAGCTGCTGTTCCAGCTCCGAGTACTCCTGGAGCACGGCCGCGAACTCGCGCTCCGCCCGCTCCTTGCGCTGCCGCTCCTGGCTCACCTGGGAGCGCAGGACGCCCACCAGGGTCTGCAGGCGCTCGTTCTCCTGCTCCAGGGGCCTGGGGCCCAGCTCCAGCGAGGAACTGTGTAGGCGGAAGGCGTCCTCGCACCTGGGAGAGGGGGAGGGGCGGGTGGGCAGAGGGCTTCGGCCATGGGCAAGGCCCGGGAGCCCAGCCCCGGAAGCCCGGCCCTGGACACTCACAACTTTCCAGTCCGCTGGGCTGCACATCGTTTGTCCCTCTCGGTCCACTCTAGGCCCTTCTCCCTCTGCCCTCTGCCCTCTGCCCTCTGCCCTGGGAGGCGGACACCAATGGACCGCTTCAGCCAGGCTACCTGAGCCCAGTCAGGGGGCCTCTGGGCAGGGGACCCGAGAACGGGAGGAGACGCAGGCCCTGGGGACACCTTCCCCAGGCTCCCTCCGGCTCCGGGCGGCATCCTCCATCGCTTCTAGGCTGCAGTGACCCCCGCCCCTGCCCTCTGGGGCGGAGGGGTGGTAACAGCTCCTCACTACGGCAAGCCTGGGGTGCTACAGTGTCCCCCCCATTTTCCTATACCTGTCCACACCTCTTTATTAATCGCCCCTCAGTTACTCTGTGTGAGGCACTGCCTCTTGCCTCTTACTAAAACCCCCGGATTGGATAACAATGGGATGCACGCACACAGTGAAAAACTACTCAGCCATAAAAAATGAAATCCTAGCCCTGGCTGGCGTAGCTCAGTGGATTGAGCGCGGGCTGCGAACCAAAGTGTCGCAGGTTCGATTCCCAGTCAGGGCACATGCCTGGGTTGCAGGCCATGACCCCCAGCAACCACACATTGATGTTTCTTTCTCTCTCTATCTCCCTCCCTTCCCTCTCTAAAAATAAATAAATAAAATCTTTAAAAAAAAGAGTCTCTATCTATCTCTCTATTTAAAAAAAAAAAAGACGAAATCCTGCCATTTGTGACAACATGGGTGGACCTTGAGAATACTACAGTAAGGAAATGAGTCAGTCAGAAAAAGCTAGGAATTATAGATTCCACTCATATAAGGGACATAAAACTGAAACACGTGGACACCGACAACTGTGATGGTTACTGGGGGGAGGGGGTGGGGGTAGTAAAGGAGGCCAATTATACACCAACAGAAAATGGTCTGACTGGTGGGCACGCAATGCAGCACACAGATCACGCATTCTAGAAGCGTACACTCGAAACCTACATGATCTTATTAGCCAACATCACCCCAATAACTTGATTAAAAAAAACAAACAAAAGTTCAACGTTTAAGGAATAGACCACATGTATTCTTCCATTAAGAAGTCATCCCTCCCTGCCTGGCGTAGCTCAGTGGATGGAGCGCGGGCTGCGAACCAAAGCGTCGTAGGTTCGATTCCCAGTCAGGGTACATGCCCAGGTTGCAGGCCACGGCCCCCAGCAACCGCACATTGATGTTTCTCTCTCTCTCTCTCCCTCCCTTCCCTCTCTAAAAATAAATAAATAAAATCTTTAAAAAAAAAAAAGAAGTCACCCCACTGAGGTGTAACGAACGGGGGCTGCCAGGGGCGGGGGCTGCCCCTCCCGGGCTAGAGCTCTGGCTTGCTAACCAGGGGACCCTGGAAAAACACACGACCTGTGGGGCTCACTTCCTCATCTGCGCAGTGAGGGCGGTAAAACACACCTCAGGGTGTTGCCACGATTATGAAGCCACTTAGCGGAGTCTCGGGCACGCGGCCAGTGCTCGGTAAACAGCAGCTGCCGACTGTGGTTAGCAGCAGGGCCGGCCTCGCCGACAGCCTGGGCAGTGCACCAGCTCTTGCTCCCACCTGCTGCCTGGTGCTCCCCCGCCTCCTTGCTTCCCCCGCTCCTTGCTCCCCCGGCTGGCAGTCCCGGGCACTTGGAGATGCCATCCAGGGTCCGCGTCCTCTACCCACAAGGGGCGCCCTCACCTACCGGGGGCTGGTGCACAGCTCCTTGAGGCAGGGGAAGGTGTGGATGGTGCGCCTGCGTTCCCGCTTCTCCCGGCGCAGCCTCAGCTGCTCCAGGCCCCGCAGCTGCTCCACCTGGGCCTGCAGCTCCTCTACCTGGGCCTGCAGACGCTCAATGGTCTCCGTCAGCCTGAGGGTTGGGTGGGGGACACGCATGGGAGGGACTTTCAGGGGACAGGGCCAGCCCCCCTCACCGCAGCCCTGGAGGGACATGGGGTTGGGGACAGATGGGCGACCTTGAGCCATGCTGCCTGGTGCTGAGGTGCCCACCCTTCTCCCACGCCTCCCAGGCTGCGTGTTGACCATTTCTCCTCTGCGCTACCTCAGCTCTTCGTATGCCTTCTGTCACTTATCCTCCCTGCAGTGCAACTAGATATCCACATGCCTGCCTTCCCTCTCGGGCTGTGAACTCCCAGAGTGCACCAGTGTCTTTGGTTCCCCATCACTGCATCCCGGGTGCCCGAACAGAGCCTGGTGCACGGTCGCTGCTTACAGGATTACAGCCTGAATGTTAAACCACCCCAAATTTACAAGGGGCAAACTCACTACGATCCCAGGTTCCCAGCCTGGGCTTCTGGGACAAGGAGCAGCAGTCACGCCCACCGGTCCATACACCCACGTGCACAGCCAGTCCTGGGCCTCTCCTTGCCCGCCCCCCCCCACCTCCCCATGGCCCTCCGTCCTGGGCCCCTCACCCGTCCCCGGCCCTCACCCATGGATCTTCTGCTGGGCGGCCTTACTCTCCAGCACCAGCTTCTGGTTGGTCAGCTCCAGGTCCCGGGCCGTCAGGTCCAGCTGCTCGTACACTTTGGCGTGCTGCTCGTTCACGTGCCGCAGCGTGTCCAGCTGCTTGGTCAGGTACTGGGGGTCGTAGGGGAGGGAGGGTGACTAAGCTTTCGGAACAGAGTGAGGGAAAAGGCCTCCGCCTGGGCCCTCCACCCACTTGCAGGAACGGGCTCGCTTCGGGGCATTCACACGCCACGGAACGGGGGGGAAAGGCCGTGGGGCAGGGCTGCCCGGGATAGTCGTGCAAGCCGTGTCTTTCCTAAGTTGCACAAAGGCCACTTGGGGGTGTGTGTGTGTGGGGGGGTGTGCATGCAGGGCCCGAGGCCCTCACCTCGATCTCCTGCACCTGCTCCTCGTTGGTGGCATACATGTGTTGCAGGGACTCCTCCAGCTCCTTGTTCCTCTCCAGCAGCGTCTTCCCCAGCTCCGCGGCCAAATGCAAGTCTGGGAGGAGGGGCGGGGGGCGGGGGAAGCGATGAGTAGCGTGAGAAAGGAGCCGGAAGACCCCCGTTAGCGCTCTGAGCATTCATTCTGAGCTGGGCCTCGGGGACCCCAGGACGCCCAGGACACGGGGGCTGCCCTTTGCACTGGCTGTGGCCCCTGCCTGGAACGCACTCTCCCCGGACACTCTCGGGGCTCATAGCTCTCGGCCTTCAAGTCTGTGCTTAGACGTCACTCTCTCCAGGAGGCCTTTCCCCAACCACTGATGTAAAATCGCGCCCTCCCCCACTCTGCATTCCTCCCGGGCTTAATTTTTTCTCTTTAGCAGAAACCACCATCGAACTCACCAAACAATGTGCTTATTTATCTTTTCGTCTCGCCCCTGACTAATTGTAAGCTCACAGGGCAGGGTTTTGCCTGTTTCCTTCCCTGACATCCCCAGGACCCAGCACGGTGAGTACCTGGCGCAGAGCGGATGTATAAATCTGTCTTGAAAGAATGAGAAGAGCCAGGTGCCAAGTGCCCTGGATGAGGAGTGAGGGAGACTCTTTGTCCTGGGCACAGCGAGAGGCTCAGGCGGTGGGCGGCGTTTGGGAGGGGTGGCTAGGCGCTCACTGAGAGAGGTGGAGGGGCAAGGGGCCTGCTGGGTGTTCGAACTGGATGCGGCTTCAAAGCTTGTTGGCCCCACCTCCTTATTGTACGGGTGACAGGCCAGAGCGGGAAGGATGACTTGCTCAAGGCTGCCGGCCGGGTTGTAGCCACACTGAAAGAACCCAGGCCTCCTTGCCCCAGTCTCCAGGAGCATCTGGCCCCCATGACCTGCACCCCTCTCCGAAACCTCCCTTCCCTGGGAAGCGAACCGGAGTCGGCTTCCACACAGCGGGGCGAGGTTCTAAAATAGCCGGAGCGCAGCCTCTGGGCCGGACCTAAGTGGGGGTGGGGGGTGGGGAGCCCTGTGCCCAGGCGTCACCCAGAGGAGCTCCCCAGTTGAGGGGTGCAGAGCTGCTGTCCCCGAGCGAGCTTCAGGCTGCAGTAACAATAACTTAGCCTGGACAAACACGGCCGCAAACACCCAAACGCCCACCTTAGCCATCGTACAAAATACTAGATCAAACAGATCACAGATAAGAACCTTCAGCCTCGAACAGTTAACCTTCCAATGATGCTACCAAGAAAAGCTAGCTGCCTGACACCAACCTAGACGGGGGAATGAGGGCACTTGAGGCGCACATTTATCAACTAGACGTTTGGCGAGTCTGCAAAGCGTGAAGTGTGATGTTGGGGTCGTGGGTCTGCAGAGAGCAGGTCCTGTCTTATGCTGAGAGCTCGGTGGACATTGAGGAGCCCAGCAAAACCACCTCTAGGACCACACCCTTCGACGTCTTCTCCCCTGGGAGCTGGCGGGTGGTCTGTGAAGAAGCCATTGCTACGGATGGCACCTGCCTTGGTGTCAGGGCCCAGGCTCTGTGGGTGGCCTGTGTGGATCCCTTACGGCGTAACCTAGAGTCCAAGGCCATGGCCCAGAGGTGGAGCGAGGAATGGTCGTGAACTCTGCACTTTCTGCTCGCCCTCCTCCCAGGTGGGCATCTGAGCTGTGCGCATTCCTACGGCAGGTGCCGGGGCAGCTGAAGTCACACTATAAGCCAGGGACACGGCCCTCAGAAGGCAGTGACTGTGAGCTGGGTTCCCTAGTGAGTCAGGAATGGGGAAGAAGGGAACACAACGGAAGCTCTCTGGGGCGGGGAGAAAAATCTCAGGGACCGACTCAGGGAAACCTGATCCCAGTGCCAGCTCAGCTGGTCCAAGTGGCCAGGAGGGGTCACGAGGGAAATGCAGAAGCTGCGCAGCTAGGGACTGAGCAGAGCCCAGTGCTGGGGAAGGGATGCCAGCGAACGGAGGGCTCCAGGGAGGGCGCAGCTCCCCGTGGAGCCGAGCAGGAGGGCGCAGCTGGGAGTGGGGCATGGGTGAGCTAGAAGCCAGAGGGGTGAGCAGGCTGTCACGACCAGATCACTGGACGGAGCCGGGGAGAGTACTGAGACTACCTGCACCCCCCCTTCCTGGACCGGGGGAGATTTCTGGGTCTCCTGCAGCAGGCTTCAGCAGTTCCCCACCCCTCACCGCCCCCCCCCCAACAATCAGCTGAGGTGCGACGCCCCAGAAGCCTGAGAGGGCCTGACCCGGAGACAGGGGGTGTCTTTGAAAAGAAACGCTGAAATCCCACTGCCTGCCCTGGTTGGGGCCTGGGTGGGGCCCCGCAGACTCCGAAGCAGGGAGGTGGGAAAGGGACGGGGAACGGGCCCAGCGGAGGAGAGACAGAGATCGGGGGTGAGGGGAGCGGGGAGACCCGGCAGGGCCGCGGCTGACCAGCTCGCAGCCTACAAGTCACGGACTCAGGGTCCACAGAATTGGGGTCCAGTCGCTTCCTCCCCTTGCCACGCCAGAGCTCTCTTCCGAGGCTCAGACTCAAGGTCGGGTGCCCAGGACTCCAAATCTCTGACTCAGCAACCATCTCCCAGCCTGGGAAGTGGTACCCACGGGGCCTGCCAAGCCCGGTCTGAGATGGGGAGGCGGGCAGGAAGAGAGAGAGTGCCAGGGCTTAATAATTAATGGCGGTTTCTATTTTTAGAGGTGCTGTGGCCGTGGGCGGGGAGGAACATCCAGGACCCTGCTATTGGGACGGAACAGCATCAGAAAGTCACATGGGGTCTTGATGGCCAGGTGTCAGGAAGTGAAGTCGGGACCTGCTGTAATGGGGCCGGGGGACCAGGCTGGCTGGGCAAACCGCTTCCCGGGCCACTCAGAGGCACGGAGGGAGCAGCCGGGCAGAGACTTGGGGAACTGGGTACCGGGAAGGAGGACGCAACAGGCACCTGATCCCCAATGTGGCTGGGCTTTGGAGAACACTCACGCCACCGTCCAGCTCTCCGTGGGGCCCCCCAGGGTTGGCGCTGCAGCACCTGTGCCTGGGACTTCCTCCCACCCCAGCTCACGCTCCATCTAAGTCCTACCTACCTCCCAGCCACACGTGGTCTTCCCACGTTGCTCCATGCCTTGCACAGGCGTCCCCTCCACCCAGCATGCCCGCCTGCCTTCCTCTGCCCAGGGAGCGCCTTTTCGGCACGCAGCTCAGAGGGGCCTCAGTGGGAACCCTTCCGAACGCGCCTGCTGCAGCACCCCGTGGCTCTCCCGCGGTGGCCAGTGTGATCTCCTTTCTGCCTCCCCTGCTGGAGTGCGGCGCCCCCTGAGGGCCGAGATCACTCCCCAGGCTCAGCACACGCCCAGCGACAGACATTTGGGTTTTTGGTGGAAAGCTCCCGTGTCTTCTGAGACTGTCTCATTTCTCGTGGCTGCGAGGAGAGCCCGAGGGAGGCTGACCACTGTAGGCCAGCCAGGCCAGAGCAGCGAGCCGGCTGGGCCCACCCCCCACCCTGGCCCAGAGTGGGCACCCAGCCCAGCCGGGAATCTGGACACGCCTCCCTCTCTGGGAGCTGCGGCGTCTCCCACCGCTGCTCCCCGGCTCCTTCCTCCCACATCTGGGCCGGCACAGGGCCAGAGACTTCCGGAGACGTGGCTGAGGGTGCGGAATGGAATGAGACAGCAACAAATCAGCATCTGTCTCCCGGAGGCCATTTCCCAGGCACTTGGCTTCCAGTCTTTCCTTCTGGGCCCGCCTCTTCCATGAAGCCCTCTCACTGCGTCCTGTCACTTACACTCACTCAATGACAGGCCCACCTCCGCCTGCCCAGGTCCGCTTAGCGGACCAGGGCTGGGACTATATGCCCAGTGCCCAGGATAGTGTCTGGCACTTAAGTGGAGTCTGATAGGTATTTGTCGGAGGCAAAATTTGGGGCTGGGGGTAGTGCCCAGGTTTGGGGAGGGATTGTCGCAGCCAGTACTGGGCATCTCGCTCCAGGCAGGGTAGCAGAGGGGAGACTCCAGACACAGAGTAGGGCAGGGTAGGGCCCAGCACCCCCAGTCCCACACTCGAGGCTCTGGTCTCCCCACATTCTGGAACGCACGGACTGAGCCTGGTCCGCCAGCGAATCTGGCCCCACGGGGATGCGGGTCAGAGCCAGGAGACAAAGGCTCCGGAATCTAGGTAGACGCTTCCCCAGAGGGCAAAGCCCGGCTTTGGGGGCCGTGGACGGAGCCCCGGAGCGGGAGTGCCAGCAACACACCGAACCAGACTCGTGTCCACACCTGCCCACTTGCGGGAGACAGTGGTCCCTTCTCCTGGACACCCCCCAGCCCAGCCCTGGCCATTCAAGAATGAGAGACGCTCTTGGGGAGGAGAGTGTGGATTTGACTCCACGGGGGTAGGCCTTGGCCGTGACCCTCTCCGGCCTCCTCCTGTTTCCTGTCCTAACAGCCCGCCCCCTGCTCAGGGTGATGTCACTTCGGCCACCTCATCACCAGCTTCTAACCCACTTCTACTCACCCTCGCCGCCCTCAGACGGAGGGGGGAGGTGGCTCCCTCTTTACTCGGCTTCTCAGCTGAGCCCTTGCTCAGAACTCCCAAACCTGGCCCCCTCCACACAACAAGCAGTTTGTGAGGGGGCCGGAGGGAAAGGACGGGGGGATCCCTCCCTCAGGAAGGCAGATTGATGGCCCCAAAACTGTGCTGCTCCCCCCCCCCGCAGGGTCCCCACAGCCCCAGTCCCTCCCTGGGTGGAGGGAAAGGAGCTGGGGAAACTTTCTGAGACTATTAGAGCTCAGGAATTCTGGCAGGGAGGGAAGGGTGCCGCTGGATTTGGGATAAGTCCTCCCCCTCCCCCTCCCCCACTCCACCCCTCCCAGGAAAACAACCAAGGAGCCACCTCCGGGCCTCCAAAGAGTTCCAGTGAGGACTCAGGTCCCCCGACAACATCAGGGGCCCCTGGGCAGTTCCTGCCTCTGAGTTGGGGTGGGCGAGCTGGGTGAACACGTATGCACGCCCCTGTCCTTCGGGAAAGAGGAAGAGCGGTCCCCCGACTTTCGCAGGTCTCCGCGGGCCCGGGCCAGGTCTTCCCGGGCAGCACGCCCCTTCCCGCCACCTTCCCGTTCTCCACGCACATCACCCCTCGGAGTCCGGCTCGCGGGGTCCAGCCCAGCCCTCCCGGGGTTGACACCGCCCAACAATGGAGTGGCGGACAGGGGTCGCGGGGCGCACTTCGCTTTCCCGCCCCCTCCTCCTCCTCCGTGCTCACCCTGCTCCAGGTCCTGCTGGTCGTACCAGGGCTCCTCTTCCTCTGCGGAGAAGTCCTCCATCCCCGCGGCCCTCCGCATGGCCCCGCGGGCGGCGGGCGGGCGGGCGGGCGCTGCGGCGGCGCGGCTCAGAGCCGGGGTGCGGGGCCCGGGACAATGCGGCGCAGGCGGGCCGGGTCTCCCGCGTCGCGGACTCCGGCTGCAGCGCCCCAGCCCGCGCTGCGCCCCCTCGCCATCGGCCGTTCACTCGGCGCCCACACGAGGCTGACTCGCTGCGGCCGGCCGGCCCGCCCGGCCGGGGTCCTGCGGAGCCTGGCACACGGAGCGGTGGCGGCACAAAGGGTGGAGGGGAGGGGACGGCGGGCGGTTCGGCGACCAGAAGGGCCCGGGCCCGCCGGCAGGTCTGACGCGCTAAGAGTACGCGTGTGCCACGGCGGACGCCCCTTGCCCGGCTCCGGCCCGCGCTGCCCCCGGTCCGCCCGGCGACACCCCGAGCCGCGGCCGCATCCCGGCAGGGTTCGCCCGGCGTTTCCCCAACCGCCCAGCGCTTCCCCAACAGCCCGCTCCACGGGGGTGGGGCTGGACGCCGCCGGCCAATCAGAAGACGTATGCAAAGCTGGAGGCGGGGCCGAGGGCGGGATCTCCCTGATGCCCTGGTTTGGCTTCTTCTGGATCAACACGCCCCTTCCCTCTAGGATGACCTTCTTCCCTTTAGGGCTCACTGTGTGAAATTATTTTATTTTGTTTACCTGTCGTTGTGTTTCTCTCCCTTTGGGTCTCCTGAAAGCAGGGAACTTATCTTTTGTTCACAGCTGGCTCCTCGATGACTAGAACAGGCTAGCCTCTTGATACCTTCTATGGACAGACACTCTGAGTCAATGTTCATTCGCATTTACCTTTAAGAACTTGTTTAAATGCCTGTGGCCAGAAGCCTCAGGCAGGAGTGGGGTCCATATACTATATCCAATTATGCCCATTAAAATCATATATGGTTTTCCCTCTCCAAGCATTCTTTCCTTAAGGGAGTTTTAGATTCAAGCATTCATGTAATTCATTTTTATTGGGACCCCCTATGGGCTGTTACTGTTGAAGTACCCTGAATATGTTCAACTGAGAATACGTGGCAAATGTATCCAACGAAGGACATTTGTATCCGGAGTACAGAAAGAACAGCTGCAAACCACAAAAAAAGAAAGACAATTCAATGCAAAAATGGGTACAAGACTTGACTAAGAATTTCACAAGTGACCACAATGGCCCAATGAACACGTGAGAAGGTGTTCAGCTTCTTTAGAAGGATCAACACCCGTAGGGAGACAGAAGGAAGCAGGGTGGAAAGAAGGACAAGTTGGGTTAAGACGTGGCCCCAACAAAGCCTCCCTTGGTTTCTGGAAAGCTTTGGATCTGGGATGCCCCATCAAGGTTAACCCAAATGGCAGTGGAAGGGGGGGTCTTTAACTTCGCCACCCACTCAGGGTACTTCAACAGTCACAGCCCGTAGGGGGTCCCAATAAAAATGAATTACATGAATGCTTGAATCTGAAAACTCCCTTAAGGAAAGAATGCTTGGAGAGGGAAAACCGTATTTGATTTTAATGGGTATAATTGGATATAGGATACGGATCCCACCCCTGGCCTGAGCTTTCTGGCCACAGGCATTGAAACACCCAGTACACACACATATTAACCAGTTCCTGGATGGATGCAGGCTGCCACTGGGATGTGGCATGACACTGGGCAAAGGAGCTCTTTCCAGTTTCTCTCCTAGAGAGAGAGCCCACAGCGTCCGGCAGCTGGGAGAGCTGGGCCTTCAGTCCCGAGGGGGCGTCTGGGTGACGCATCACAGCATCCGCCATAACTATAAATGCACATCCTGTGACCCAGCAGTTCTGTCCCTATATAGGTGCAGCAGAAATGTGTACATGTGTGACATGTGTGGCTGAAAGACATGTTCACAGATGTTTCCATCAGTGCTGTTCATAGTAATAGCGTAAAGCAGAAACAACCCAAATGTCCATCAGTAGTTGAATACAATGTAGCATATTCATGCAATGGAGTATTGTAGAGTACAAATAAAATGTTGAGTGAAGGACACAGAGTAAGTACTTGTAGTCACCATTGCTTCTGTAACAAATACCCCAAATGTAGTGTCTTGAAATAACACAAATTTGTTATCTCGCAGTTCTGTACCTTAGAAGTCTGACGTGGTCTCTGGCTGAAATCGAGGTGTCCACGAGGCTGAGTTCCCTCTGGTGGCTCCAGGGGAGAGTCTGTTCCCCTGTGCCTTTTGCCTTTTAGAGGCTTCCCGCGTTCCTTGGCTCGTGTCTCGTGTCTCCCTTCCTCCGTCTTCAGAGCATCGACAGCAGGTTGAGTCCTTTTTTTTTTTTTTAATAGGTGCCTGTTAATGTCCTTAGAGCTTCTCTCTCTCTTTTTTTAAATATTATGCTATTTTTATTTTTATTTATTTTTAGAGAGGGAAGGGAGGGAGAAAGAGAGAGAGAGAGAGAGAGAGAGAGAGAGAGAGAGAGAGAGAGAAATGCCAATATGTGGTTGCTGGGGGTCGTGGCCTGCAACCCAGGCATGTGCCCTGACTGGGAATCGAACCTGTGACACTGGTTCACAGCCCGCGCTCAATCCACTGACCTATGCCAGCCAGGGCCTCTCTTTTTTTAAAAAGAAAGATTTTGTTTATTTATTTTTAGAGAGGGAAGGGAGGGAGATAGAAAGAGAGAGACATCAATGTGCGGTTGCTGGGGGCCCTGGCCTGCAACCCAGGCATGTGCTCTGACTGGGAATCGAACCTGTGACTCTTGGGTTCGCAGCCCGTGCTCCATCCACTGAACTACGCCAGCCAGGGCTTTCATTTCTTCATCTTGGTGCTGGTTGCACAGGTGTGTTCAGTAGTGAAAATCATTGACATGCACACTTAGGATGTGTACACTTCTCTGAATATGTTATACTTCAATAAAACAGTTAAGAAGAAAAGCAAGAAGACGAGGATGGAGTTTTCTTCCATGGTCTAAGGGGAGGTGGCGGTAGGATGGACAAGGCTGGTGGCGGTGGACATGGAGCGAGATGAAAAATGTTTTGCATGTAGAACCAAGATGTTCAGATGAATCGACTAGAGCATTGGAGAGAAACCACTCAGACTTCTGGCTCCAGTAACAGCGCAGTGGTGATGTCATTTATTGAGACGGGGACAAAATGAGTCTGACGACAACCAGGTTGGGGGTGCCGAGTTCCAGAGGGATCTGGTCAGGCCCCCAAGCCCACCAGGTTCCCCTCTGCACCTTTTCATTTCTTCAATCAGCCGCTCCATGGAAATGCAACTACAGGAGCCAGGGCTGCCCCCTACGGCCGGGGGAACGTAGGAAGCCCCAGCCAGAGGAAGAGCAGGGGCAAAGGGCTGAGGGCTGTGGCCTTGGCCTTGGCAGTGAGGGTGCCAGCAGGGCCCCTCTCTTGCTAGGGCGATGAAAGGCAGCCCCCAACCTGGAGACTCACCTCCAGTCCCCAGAGCTAAGGCTGTTTTCACCGGTGAGGTTTGAAAACACCCAGCCGCTGGGTCACCTCTCAGCCCTCGGCCTTTACCAAACTAACTACGCCCTTGGCATGGCTCTTCCTGAACACTCTCCTTCCCTGTCACCTCCCTCCCTGCACCCCAGTCCAGCAGGATTGCCTGGCAGGGACAAGCATGTCACAAAGGCTGGATTCTCATTGCTGCCCAAGGACTAGGCAGGGGGATTCAGGCTGGACTCCCCTAGGCCCCTAGGTCCCATGAGGCTGGTGTGAGGTGGGGGCTGGCTGAGGCTGGGCCACCAACTCCGCCAGGGTGGCGGAGCCTCCTGACTGCTTCCGCAGGGGTCCGAGGATGGGGGCCCAGCAGCTGAGGGGTGGGCTTCCTGCTGCATACCCGGCCTGTGCCGGGCCCTTTGCCCAGTCATGGGAATCCCCGGCTCCTGGCCCAGCAAGGTCACCCTTTGTATCTTTGGGGCAGGCTTAATATTTTCTGGGCTATTGCCTGAGGAGGAAAATCAGATCTGCCTTTGAGGAAGGAAGTTCCTTTGTCTTCCTGAGCTACGGGTTAAAAAGCCTTGGGGTCCACTTCAGGCCTTTCCCTTAAACGGAGCCCAGAGCGGGCTGACAGCGGGGACCTGTACACGACCTGACGGCGGCAACGCCAGAGCCCGGCGCCTCATCTGTGCGTCCCGCAGGCCTGTTTCATGGTGTTCCTTGTCGGCAGCTTCAAGAGGCCGCGCTGGTGGACCCGCCGTCTGCTAAGCTTTGGGCAGTAGGATTCCCCTGGGGTCGGTTTCACACCTCGGGGACCAGGAGCGCTTCCCCAGTTCCCAGCCGAGGAGCTCCCTCCCTCCGGAGCGCGAGCCCAGATCCTAGAGGCGGGACAAAAGCACAGATTCCACCGGGATGGGGCGGGAGCGGGGGCGGGGCTGGGGAGGGGAGGCGCGGAGCCGGATGCAGCGACGCAAACTCCTTCCAGGCAGGCTCCACCAGGGACCCCGATGCGACAGCCCGCGGTCACAGGCACCACTGCCCACTCCGAAGCCCAGCCCACCGGAAATGACGGCGCAGGCAGTGCTGACGTTAGAGGGTCTCGGTCACTCCCAGTCACGCGAGTCACGCTGGGGGTGGGTCAGGGTGCCCAGTTGCACCTCTGGGCCCACGGGCTTCCCATCCACCCCCGACACTGTGCATCTTGGGTTGAAGTCAAGGGACCAGGCGGCACCAGGTCACCTTCTTCCAGGAGTGCCCCCACCCCTGGAGGCCGGACGGCCGCCCTCCCTGCCCTCAGACTTTCCAGCGCTGGGCACCCGCTGCACTGAACGCTCAGGCCCCATCTGGCCCGCCCTCCAGTCTGAGGTCAGCGCCTGGCAGGGTAAGGCGCTTAACACATTTGAATGAGTGAGGTCATCTGGTGTCCCTCCCTTCCCCCCATAAACCATCTGGGTCTGTCCCAGACAGGATTCTCTGGGTCCCTGCTGTCTGGAACTGCTTCCACTCCCCGTGTCGGCCTCCAGTCCCTGCCCTTAAAGTCCCAGGCCTGTCCTTTAGGAAGTGTGTGCTGAGTGCCCTCCTGTGGCCTCACCCTACTCCTTCAGGGCCACCTCGGGGGCTGCTGGGAGGGTTCTGTGAGCTCACACAGGCCGAGGGCTTGGAGCAGGGCCTGTGCATGCGCGCACCAGGCAGCGTTTGCCTTCAGGGTCATTTTTACTCTAACATGCTTTACCTGGAGGATCTATTCGTCGCCCACGGCTACCCCTCTTCTGGCAGGGCTCCTGGGGAGGCCTGTTCAGGGGCCTTACCTTTCTAGCACAGGGCAGGTGAGGCTTTCAGTCAAGGCCAGAGCCCTGGGCCTCAGAGACCTGTGGGGCAGCCCCCGCTGTGTCTGGCGTGCCCGCCTCACGGTGCACATGGGACCCTGCACGGACCCGCCTGCCGGGCACGGAGCGGTCCCCAGCGGGTGAACCAGGGAACGCTCTGACGCCAGCGGCACGACCACGACCCCTGGCCCTTTGTCAACCTTCTCCGCCCGGTTCAGATCCACCTGCCCCACCTGAAATCCTCCCCAAAGTACTGAAAAACCGAGTCTGAGAAACAGTCGGGGAATGTGTCAGTCCTACTGACTGACGTGGACGCCCGAAGCGTCTCCGTGTCCCAGGACGGCCCAAGAGCCATCTTCGCTCACGTGTCCAGGGCTGGGCGCCAGTGCTGGGTGCCGGGGCCACGGGGAGCAAGACCCACCCAGTCTCTGCTCACACGAATATTGCATTTTCCTGGGCAAGAGAAACATAAACCAAGTAAAAAGACAAAAGTATTTGAAATGGGGGGGGGTAACGTTTTAGGCAACATCGGGGGCGGGAATAGCAACAGCTGGGGATGGGAAATCTTTCAGGAGGAGAGGGTTTGAAGATAAGACCCCAAGCGGGAGCAGGGGACGGGCACACGAACAGCGGGAGGAGGGGGGTCCCGGGAAGAAGACACAACCTGTGCAGAGATCCCGGGCAGAAAGAGCTCAGGGGTCCCGAGGAAGCCAGGAAAGGCCGGTGGGTGGAGTCCGAGGGCTCTGGGGGGAGGGGAGCAGAGGGGCCGTGCAGGGCGCTGTGCGGCCCCAAGACACTGTTCCCGACAAAGGGCTCGAGGTGTTCTCGGTCGGGAGTGTGGTGAGCTGCATTTCACAGCCACTCCTGGCTGTTCTGCAGGGTGGAGGCTGCTGCAGGTGGGAGATGGGGGCGGGGTCAGTAGAAACGAGGGAGGTAGAAAATACAACATACGTGTTTGGGAAGTCACATCAAGATGTGGTGATGGGTTGGACATGGGGTGACGAGAGGAGAGGTGTCAAGGGTGACGCTGACTTCTGGCTTGACTGCCTGGGAGGTGACATTTGCTGAGATGAGATGACTGAGAGACAAAGGTGGGAGAGAATGACAGGGCTGGGAGGGACGAAGTGTGGAGAAGAGAATCACCCCCGATGTGGCAATTTTAAACATTTTGCCAACTTCTTTGACGCCTCTTCCTTGGGGTGGGGTATGGATCCCCTCTGCTGGAATCCAACGGACTTGTGATTGCTTTGGCCAGTAGAGTATGGTAGAAGTGACTTTATATATTATTATTCCCAGGCTAGCTACTAAATGGCCATGAAGTTTCTGTTTCTCCTCCTCCTCCTCCTCCTCCTCCTCCTCCTCCTCCTCCTCCTCCTCCTCCTCCTTCCCCTCCTCCTCTCTTTCTCTCTCCCAGGCACCCTCTCTTGTGTACCCTTTGGGACGCTCACGCTCAGAGCCCAGGGCCTTGCTGTGAGAGGCCCAGGCCACTCAGGAGACCCACGCTGATGATGCCAGACTCAGCCCCAGCTGAGCCCAGGCTTTGAGTCCTCCCAAGATGCCAGACGCCAGATACGGGAGTGAAGAAGCCCCCGGATGGTTCCAGCACCCAGCTGTGCCGAGTTAACCCCTCCCCTAGCCATTCCGGTCTTCCCAGCTGAGACCCTGGACGTTGTGGAGCAGACGCCAGCCACCTCAGCTGGGCCCTGCCTGAATTACTGGCTAATGCATTTACAATAAATGTTTATTGTTTTACATCAGATTTGGTGGGGGAGAGGCAGTACCCAGAACATGCATTTAGTTGACAATCAGGATTCCACATCGCCAATGTCACCTGTATCCTTCGGGTGATTATGAATGAAATTACTACCAGCATTACACATTTGTGTGTGTGTGTGTGTGTGTGTGTGTGTGTGTGTGTGTATGAATATCTGTCTTCGTTTCTCCTGGGTAAATACCACAAGTGGAATTACAGAGTTATATAGTAATTGTATATTCAGCTTTATAAGAACATATAAATGCTCCCCATCCACGCCAGTATTTGTTATGTCAGGGTTTGTTGTTGTTTTTTTTCTCCCCCATCCTAATAGGTATATAATGGTTACCATGGTGTGGTTTCAATTTGCATCTCTCTAATGACGAAGATTCAGAGTTTTTAATGTCACTCTGGGCTGGACTAGCACTGGGTGATTTGCAGAGTGCACTGGATTTTTTTTTTTTTTTTGAAATGCCAGATAAAGGTGCCATTCATTCATTATCTCGGGAGCGATCAGAAAAGCCACAAGCCAGCCCAGGATTCCACCCAGGGCAGGGAAGACACATCCCCTGGAGCCAGGACGGAGCTATCCTGTGCAGTCTGCTGACTCGGCGACACATTGACACCCTGTCCCCCTCCTTCCTCCTTCCACACCCGTCCTCCTTTACCTTGGTGCCGTCTCTTCGCCGCCTTCACGGTACATCCCTCATTTTTTTTTTTTTACCCGTGGAATTCCTGTTTAAGCTAAATATCACCTCCTTGGGAAGCATCCAGGATTTCCAGAAGCTTCCAGACATAGCGTGCAAGATGATGTTGTGGAAAAAGTCCAACCTCTTTGGGGTTGAGTTGGATTTTTTAAATTTTGGCTTTGTTCCTTACTAGTTGTGTCACTTTGGGCAAATAATTTAAATATTCCAAGCCTCGGTTTTCCCGAAATGTGTCAAATGTGGATAATAGCTACCTCAGAGGCAGGTTTTTGTATTAGCAATATTGTCCCATTATTGTCACTTTCACCATGACTACTACTTTGCCTCTACCAAGGATACACTGGATGAGCCATGGCTGATTCTCTTCCTGACTCTCTCCCTAGATAATTGCTGACACAGGACAGGCCTCGTGTCCTGAGCCCCTGTGCTCCCGTCCCTGACACAGTGTTGCTAATCACCGGTCCCTTGACACGTCCGTTCAGATGGGTGGCCTCAGAAGGGTTTTCAGGGAAGGCAGGTGGCCAGAGAGGAGTTGTGGGAGCCAGAAGGACCTCCAGCGTTCACCAGGCTCCGAGAGCGGGGGCACTGGGGTCAGCCTGCCTCCCGCAGAGCAGGAGGCTGAGCCTAAGTCTCTCCGGACACGTGGGTTTGACAGGTCAGAAAGAGGGAACCAAGGGAGCAGATGCTCAGAAGACAACAAAAAGACTCGGAGGACAGGGATGGACGAGGAAGAAACTCAGGGGAGAGGGCTCGGAGGAAGTGTGGGTCCAGCGATGGCGTGGGGACCAGTGTTGGGGAGGGGGGCGGGGACAGGAGGCTGGGAGGATCGCGGGCCCTGGGCTGGGTGGAAATGGGAGAGGCGGCGCGGGGACGACGCTCGGACGCAGAAGGAAGCGCGCAGAGGCATTGGGTGGAGCTGAGAAAGACGCGGAGAGTGGACTGTGCCGCGTGCGGCAGGTGCTGGAGGCGGAGCCACTAGGGGCGGGGCCTGGCGGGGGCGGGCCGAAGAGGAGGCGGGGCCGACGCCGGGCGGGCGGGCGGGGTGCCGTGCCGCGCTGTGCTCCGCTCCTGCGAGAGCCGCGGGGGCCGCGGCGCTGGAGCTGGGTCTTGAGCCGGGGCCGCAGCGGGAGTCGGGACCAGTGCCGGTCCGGATCGGGCTCCAACGATATGGGGTCGGCCGACTCCAAGCTGAATTTCCGAAAGGCAGTGATCCAGCTCACCACCAAGACGCAGGTGCGCCCGGGGCCACGGCCTCGCTACCCACCTACCAGACTGGGGGCTAGGCCGGGCCAGGGGGCTGCGTGAACTTGGCCTGCCCTGAGATGGGGAAGCAGCTGGGTGTGTGGGTGATACTGACACCAGGGTCGAAGCCGAACCCCTTGGCCCGCACCCCGAGAGACTCCATCCCCTAGCTTGGTCCCCCCACCCCCAGCCTTCTCTCCCGGGAATATTCTTATCCCCGCAGCCGCTGCTGCCACCTTAGGCTGACGTGTGCCTACTTTCCGAGCCGGCGTCGCCGCTGCCTGCCCCCCACCCCATCCGCTCCTCCAGCCTCGCATCTTTAGCCTCTGCCCGCCTCCACCCACCCATCCACCTCCCTGCTCCCTCGCTGCCCCTCGGTGCCCGCGGGTCCCGGACGCACAGACCCGGCTGACTCAATGCAAACAAAGCCGGGCCGGTGTCCGCCCTGGTTGGGAAAACAGCTGGTGCGCGGCAGCAGCAGCCTCGCTGGGCCCCGGTCCGTGCCCACGGCAGGGAAGGCCCAGCAGCCGGGTAAGGGGACCTCTTCCCAGGCCCGTGGAGTCCAGTTTCCCAGCTGAGACCACTTCTGAAAGGGACTTCTCCTCTGAGACCCAGGCGTGGGGATGGCTGTGTTTGGGGTACCCTCTGTTTCCTGGGTCAGGGCTGAGAAACCTCCAGATTGCCCTTGACCTGCTGATGTGGGGCCTGGGGGTGTCTCGCAGCCTAATCCATGCTTGCACACTCCCCCGAGTCCACAAGTGGCACAGAGGCCACCTCCTTGCTGGCGACAAATGCGACCTGGCCCCAGCAAGGCTGCTTCCTCACCCACCCCTTCTCTCCTCACCCCTTGAGCCAGGCCATTCTGGCCACGGAGATGCAGGCCCTGACTCCCCAAATTTCCCGCTTTCAAGGGAGTCGGGACCTGCTGTCATCTGGGACTGTCCTCTTACCCTCCCCCCACCCCTCCCTGGGCTCTCTCTTGCCCTCGGCAGTTACAGTGGGATGGAGGGAGCCATCTGCCCGCAGCCAGCCAGCTGGTCACAGCTGCAGAGGCCAGACCGGGGGTCCCACCCTCTCCGGTTCCCAGGGGAGAAAGGTCAGGTGCTGGCAAACGCCCAGGGCCTCTGGAGAGCGCTGCCCGGCAGGGAGGTGTTTGACAGAAACCAGATCTTGCTCCTTGCTGCTCTCCGGTTCTCCCTTGACTCCTGGTCGGTTCCGGCACTTTGCTCTTTAGGGCTGGGGCTTCTAGGTGTGTGGGTGGAAGGTGGGCCAGCCCCCCAGTGTGGGGCCACAGAGAGAAGAGGGAGGGAGGGAGGCTCCTGTGTTTACCCACCTGCCGAGGGAAGCGTCTGGGTGGAGAAATGGACGGTGGGCTGCAGGCTCGGCTGCCGGGGTCCTGTGCTGGGCCAGCTGGACCAGGTCAGCCAAGGCCCCAAGGGTCTGGGTGGGTTACATTCCCACTGGCTCTTGCCTCCCTCCCCCAGATACGGTGATGGATCTGCCTGAGGCGTCTCTGTCTCATCTCCCAGCTGAGGCTGGTGTGTTGGCTTGGGACAGGACTGAAGCCGGAGACTGGCCTGGGTCTCCCTCCAGGAGCCCTGGGGCCCTGCGGGTGGGAGGTGGCCTGGGCCGCCTGGAGGGGGAGGTCCCCGGGGGCGGAAACCTGGGGTCCTGTGCAGTGAGTGACCTGGCTCGGGTAGCTTGCGGGTGAGCACCAGGTCCCAGATGATCATCCAGACCTTGCCATTCATGTCTCCAAGGAGATGCAGGCTGGCTGTCCCCAGGGTGTCCTCCAGTCCCAGGCCCTCAGAGGCCGCCGGGTGAGCACAAACAAGCCGACCTGGCGCCCTTCCCCGCGGCCTGGGCCTGAGCCGCTGCTGCCCAGCCTTCCTGCGCCGCATCCTGTTTTCTTCCTGCGCGGGGCTAGGCCGGACCCTGGCGCCGAGGGCCGGTAGCTCTGGCTGTGCTTCCCGAGCCTTTCCCAGGTGGGAGGGGCCCTGGAGGGGGGCACTCCCGGACCTGGACCCTCTCCCAGGCTCCGCTTGTTTGGAGGTTCTTTGCTGTTGGGCAGATGAGAGATGCATGTTCTGGTAGGTCCGTGTTTACATGCGTGCACATGTGTGTGCATGTCAATGCCGTGGTGACACAGTCCTCCGGGTCACCCTTAGCAGGCTGGAGCACTGCTGGTCCTTCCTTTCTGCCCCCAGAGAGGTTTCAGAAGAGGCAGCTGGCCCCTCGGGCCGCTGGCAGCACCGGCCTGAGCGGGCCCTGCAGAGCTGGGGTAAGAACATCTGGTTTCCCACCAGGTAGCTCAGCCGCGGTGCCCCTGGCAGTGTGGGCCTGCCCACTTCCAGCAAAAACACCCTTTTCGAAGAAACTGGATTTTAGAGCTTCCTTGGGCTGGATGGAGCCCAGCTGGGGAAACTGAGGCAGGAACTGAGCCACGCCCCTCCCCTTGGAGGCCTAAGCGGCCGAAGTGACCCTGACCAATGCCTGTAGCATCGGGCTAGCCTGGGACGGCCAGGCAGTGGTCACCAGCTTGACGTGTCCAAGCCACGGTGGGACCAGTTGAGGATGTGGGAGGTGAAATTCACCATTCTCGAAGTTCAAGGCCAGCTCCCACAGTCAGGAAGTTCTGCCTCAGGGCTGGGCTGCCCTGGGGACACTGGCCTGACGAACTAGATCAGAGGCCAAGTCTCCTGGGTGTTCAGACGAGTTTCTGCCCCTTTAAGGGGGTAGTGGTTCCCTGGGAAGCGGGGAAGGTGCAGAGACAGAGATGGGAGCTTCCCAAGGAGCTTCTGGATTGGGGTGGAGGGAGGGCTCTTCCTATTTTCAGGATGTCCTTCCCTACCCCCTCCTGGACGCCTGGCGAGTGCCAGAGGGCCATTCTGGCCAGCAAACCCCAGCCCCAAGGCCCCTCCTTCGGCCTCTGTCCCTCTACCCCCTACTAACTCGCTCTACCAGTTCTGGGACGGAGCAGGCCCTGGTGCCAGGTCTGTCCAGAGGGCCAAGGCCACACACTGGCCTGCAGCTCAGAGGGGACTGTTGCT